GCTTCGCATTATCATAGAACAGAGTATAGAATGGCAGTCAACTCAACTCTCTACCCAAACTTCATCGACTTTGAAAAGGCCTTAGACAGCGTCGACCAAGAAGTAATTTGGCAGCTGCTTCAACACTGCGGAATACCACACACCTTTATCAATCTCATCCAACAACTATATGAAGACGCCACATGCCAAGTAATTCACAATGGGAAGCTCAGTGATGCTTTTGAAGTGAAGACAGGAGTAAAACAAGGCTGCCTACTATCACCCATGATATTCCTGATTTCGGTCGACTGGACTGGATCATGCAGCAAACAGTGAGGAGCGAGAAGAGGGGATACGCTGGACTGCGGAGAAGAACCTAGAAGATTTGGATTTCGCCAGTGATGACTTGTGTCTAATGTCTTGTGGCACAAACTTGAAGATCTACAGGCGAAAACTAACAAATCGATAGAAGAGGCAGGGCAGCGAAGACGGGACTTCAAGTGAACGTAGAGAAGACAGAGGTGATGAAGATACCCAACCAACAACAACAAGCTTCAATCACCATCAACGGGAAAAAATTGAAGGAAGTAGCCTGTTTCACCCACCCACCTAGTCAGCACTGTTTCAACTACAGGCGGCACAGACGAGGACGTCAAAGCCAGCCAGGATCGGAAAAGCAAGACAGGCGTTCATTAGCCTGAAACCAGTGTGGAGATCTTCTGCGCTCAGCATAAAGCGTGAACAACATCCGGATTTTCAACACCAATTCAGTCAAGTCAGTGCTCCTGTATGGTTCTGAGACTTGGCACCTTACGAAAGGGATTTCCAACAAACTACAGACATTCATCAACAACTGCCTACGCTGGCTCGTTACTGACGCTCAGATGGATGGTCAGAAGGAGTAAGCAACAAGGAACGCACTCTGGGAACGAACCAACGAAGCAAGAACCTATTGCTCAACAAATATGCAGAAGGAAGTGGAGATGGATTGGGCATGCCCTGAGGAGGCCGACTGGGAACATCACGCACCAGGCTTGGACTTTGAGTGGAACCCAGATGGGGTGAGACGAGTTGGGCGTCCCAGTTGAGGGTGACATGGGGGAGATCGTGCGAGGAGGAAATGAGAGCTTGTGGGCTGTCATGGAACCAGGTTCAAAAGTTTGCAGAGAACAGAGTGTAATGGAGACGTGCTACTGAATCCCTGTTCCACTAGGAACCCAAGGGACAAATTACAATAAAGAATAATAACCATTAAATTATCAATTTGCACAATTTGTTTAATATTACCTTCTTCCGTCTCGTCTTGCTACTGATACGGTTACGTCATCTTTTGCTGTCCTCAAAAGAAAATATTTATCCATTGCTGGTATTTCCTTTCTACTTCATAGTTTTCTCAATGCGCTAAAATGCTTATAAGTCATAATACTTCTCTGGTTCCAAATACAGAAACTGCCTGACTTCTCAGCACTTCTACGCACTAATACTTATCAGAGTAAAATTTAGGCACTGAAGTAGAATGCAATTTGTTTAAGTGCATCAAATAGTGAAATAGTTTTATTTAGTGAACTTTTAACAAATAATACTGTTCCACTACATGATACATCCAGTAAATCAATTGTTGATACTACAGTTATAGAGTTGAAGAAACGACAGCATGAACCATTCAATTTCCAAATAACTAGTTAATTTTTATTATTCTACCTATTTTACCAAATCATCAAAGTAACATTGCAACACTTGGATTCTAAATTCTGATCAACCGTTCATCAAAAAGAAGGGGATTTTCAGTTAAAATGTACATACATGACCTACCCTAGCACCTTAAAACTATTGATGATCATTTTCCGCAATATGATCACTAACAAATTCCACCTGATTAAGTGGTATTTATTTGTTATGTACTATATTTGAAATCTACGTCTTTTGACTGTATTTACGTCAACAGTCATTAGTCAGACGTTTCTTCAGCTTACGACGCATAACTGAACAATAGTGCATATTAATGTTATAGGCAATAAGCCACACTTGTTATATGAAGTCTTATGATACTATTTGGCAACTAAGTTCGAAGTAGGTGGAGCGAGGATCGATCCTAGGACCCATCGCTTGTAATTCCAGTTCCTAAGCTTACCAATCACACCATGGTGATGGATATGCGCAAATCGTTATCAGCATGCATACTTTTTCGTAGTCTGTAGCATGCATGCATTGTTTGCAGGTTGATAGCGCTAAGTAGCTGTTCAAATCTCGGCCAGTGCAGAGCAAGTCAAACTAAATGGTTGAAAGTTGATTACCTCAGTCAACGAATTAAAGCTGAGCTAATTGAATCATCACTTAATGCTACATTCCTTGAAGTACAACTAAGGAATTATATTCATCAATGGGTTCACGTGTCAGTAGCTGAATATAAGCAAACTAAGCAAACCCAATCATTTTTCAGATCGTTGGTTCACGCCATAATGTCGAATAACAAAGTTTTTAGTTACAAGCTGAGAACCATGTTACACAAAAATACAAGAACATCTGGATCATGAATTTAAAAAGGTGCAAATTTCTAAATCGCTGGCGAGGTCATAAGTGCACACTCCTGACGAGTTCCATACTAGGATGAAACAATGGTCTAGTTCTGTTACGTTTTCAGGGAGTCTCTAAATAATGCCAGTCTAGAATGATTACTACCTTAAAATCAGTAAAGCCTAGGTGAATTACTGTCCAGTACTCATTACTGACATGCCTGGAGATGAAATTTTTAGAGGTTTTAATGAGAAGTCGTGACCAGTGGAGCGAACCAACTCGGATGTAGGAACAAATACTTAACGATGGCATTGATTGACGGTCATAATATATTGCAAATCGACAGAAATAGGAGAGTGTAGACCATTAAATTCCAAACCAGTCGCTCAAGGAAAATGGAATCACCGTGAAACCTGAACGTCGTGACTGAGTTTCAACCATGACGCATGAGGTTGTGGATACGCTTTGTTGAAGATGACCACGTTAGTACAAAACAGCTTTCCAGTAATCCTGATTTCCCACTGGTTTCCCAACTGATACCAATCTATGGTGAGTGTCACCTTTAGCATTTCACCTACAGGTGAGTTAATCGATGTCTCTTGACGCATCAATCTATTGTGTGGTGATGAATGCCAGAAAAAGTAAGTGGAACAAGTGTTTTGCCCAGTTTTGAACTCGCCATGACCATAGTGAAACTCCTGACGATTTAGTATGAAAGACTCTAAAGTTCGAGGTAGTAGGGGAGATTTGTAGCTCGGGATGAGAATGATATGCGTTTGGTATTCTCCGAGCTTTGACGTTTCTCCTTAGACGTTACATCACCACACCAGGTGACTTCCTCAACATTTACTCGACAAAAGGTGAAGCATTTCCAAGTTCCTTGGTTGTCTGTAAATTACGTTTGACAAAATTGAGTGTTACTAGATTTCGGGAAGGTATGACCTTTCTTGCCGTTTTTATCAGAAGTTGACCTTCGTAACTTTTATTATCAGTTGACTTGCGCTGTTAACATAATGACGGATTTTTCATTTGCTTGACTGATTTCCAGTTGACTGATCCCTTCTAAGTAGTTCGCATATTGACCCAGTGTCCACGTGTCTGTTAACACCTATTTGATGATTAGAGTGCCACTTTTTCAGGAAATATCTTGGTGTCTTTCGACTTGCATGTCGTAGTATTTCCTTTCCGTCGCAGTCGAACTTGTGCTAATACGCATCTGCTTGTATTAATGATGACGTATTACGTCGTTTGACTGCAACTTTGATACTGATAAATTGTGTATGCTATTCCACGACTGGATTGGCCAGCATAATGATGCTGACGTTCCTTGCAACTAATTTTGTAGATTATATTCATGTTGCCTACTTTGGATAGTGTATCCTTCAGCTATCATAATATGTTTCTCAGAGATTTGTTTCGCTTATGTGCCATGTAAATGCCAAATTCATGAAGTAATCGGTTGACAGTTGCTGAGACATCTTTGATTTATGATGAAGTGATTCGTTTTGTAGGTTGACGTATTTGTCGTGATGCATGTTTTCTTGATGTACATTTCTTGATGAAGTTGAGTGGAGAATGAATGATTCTCAACACTCAGTAAAGGTGGTTTCCCTTGACTTTTGTATTTGTTAGCTGCTGCAACGAGTCTTGCCATGTGTTAGTACTGCTTGTACACGACTCTTCTTATGAGATCCTGGGTTGTTACTGGAGTAGTTCAAAGCTTAATCTATGTATGTTATCTTCCTGTACACCTGAGCTTGTAAGGCTCCATCATATGTTCCACTGATAAGCACAAGTAGGAATGGGGTTTCATTAATTTTTTCCTCTACTTTGTGAATTGAATACTTTCAAAGGTTTGGTTGCTTTTAATTAAAACAAACGTTCCCTTGACATAACCATATCCAAATTTTTGGCCTGATTACTGAAATGACCATTGATCTTAATCATCACTGCTTCAACGATCAGTCAGGGTACGGGGGAGTCCATGGCCGTTCCCTTGGTTTAGTTATAAATCTTTTTGTTGAATCGGAAGTACGTTGTGAGACATAGGCTGACTAATTTCATCAGGTTTGTAGCAAGAAGTTTCGTACTTTTCTGAAGATTCTGTAGCCTCATTATGCCTTGTATGTTTGTCGAGAGCTTTTTAAATGCCCAGCTGATATATCATCAACAAGCAACTCATTTTCTCAAATAAGTGAAGTTTGTATAAGGAAAGACTCCTGAGTTCAGATAAAATTCTATTAAATTACGCATATCTCAGGACCATCTATCAACCTATATGGAATTTTTGTACAGTCTTTAAACTTTTTTTTATTAATATTGACTTTGGGGCAACTGTTGATTCCACTGTATGTCGCTTTTATTCTTTTCTCATTTTATTCGTACAAGTTTGAATCAAGTGATCAACATTTGGGAGTCAGTGATGTATACATTTTTTTGCAGTACCGTTACTTCATGATGCATGACAACGTATATTTTAAATTTTATTTCCTTTTTTGTTTCAATAGGATAATGGTCATAATTTATTCAAAATTGATTCAAACTCTCTGCATGAGCTGCGAGGTTTTATTTATCGTTTAACAAGCCTTATTGAAAATCTTCAGCATTCAAAGTATGTAAAATAAATATTATAAACAGGCAATTTTTTATATACTACTTAGTTTGGAAGTATATATTATTTAATCTCTTGGTATATAATTCTCCTTCGTTTATCGGACGGGATTGATCGGCCATATAGCATATGGGCTCCTGCAGAGATTCCTCAATATTGCCAGTATTTTCAGCTTGGTATTAATGATAGTTTGTGGCTAGCAATGGAATCTTTGAATTTTAAAGAAGAAAATATCACTCATTAGGAGGTAAGTACATGTAGCTGACGAATCCTAAACAGAACGAAACGCGCATCCTAGATTCTATTGCTAGCCATTAGCAATCAGTTTATCACTCTCAAAGAAGTAGTGACATGACCTCACTAACTGCAATATAAAGCTTTAACTAACTTGAAATCTAACAAAATATTCTTTGTATGATAAAATGGATTATTTACTCCTTTTAAAGTGTGCAGAGGATATAGATACTGACAAAATTCAGAGTCTTCTGAATTCCTTCCACAAAAATCTGAGTTATATTTGGAATATGTTTCGCACCCACCAAATAGATGATACTTTGGAAGTGGTTTCCACCGACGCCCAGTTTAGGAATAGGACATGAATAGGTTTGGAATGCGTTGACCACTTTCTTTACTTGGAAAATTGCATCAGTTTGAACGGATCAGTTGCTGATGAAATACAAGCCTGAACAGGAAAGGACTGTTTGATACTGACTAAATTACGCCACATACATGATCGGTAAAATTTTCAAGAACTCATCAAGAGATGAGTACACTTTATAGTGGTTCGACTTCTCCTGGTTTACTGTTACAAGACATGGATATTGAAAGTAAAAAAACGTGGAAAGTTTACAGGTTTTTGATCAAAGATATCCTCCATCATTTTTCGTAATATTAGGGTTGTGAATCTTGACCAACAAGGGTTACTTAGATATATGTTACGCGTACTGATCGATCTCGTCTATCTCGATGTTCGATTTTGACCAAAGCGGGATTGGATTAGAAGAAGGATCCAGATGATCACACCAAGACTTGGCATCTATCTATGAAGACCGTGACTGTTGGTATGAGTGGTGTGGAGGAGTGTAGGCTGCATAACTGGGGACCTCGAGATGATAGGACTGAGCGGCTGGAGACTTTTGGTCAGATTGTTGAAAATCAGTTTCTGATAATGGTGTGGATGTGTGCACTCCCTGTCACATCTGAAGTCTTGAATACATTCATTGACCATACTTTATTTGTCTTCCTAACCCATACAGTTCTATCAACACCTGAGTCGTTCATTTTTCTCTCCTTCCGTTTTTGCATGTCGCTGTGAAGTATGGGCATATGAAACGATATACGTTCTATCCGTTTCTTGGTTGATTTGTCTGTATGCAGTAAACTGGGTAGTATGCAGCTGCGTATCACAATTACGAGGATTCACTGAGTATGTGAAAGTTACGCATGATCTGATAAGCGCTTAACATCTACTGGAAAATTATTCATAAACACCGAGCTGTTGTCTTCTGCATTTGTCTTTCAGCTATTACGTAGTGTACCAGGTGATGATTTGTCATACAATCTCCAAAGTTGATTCATAATGAATACCAGGTAGCATTGAGAGCCACTGTCCTGCTGCTCTTTGATGTGGAGGATGTCCTTCATGTTTCTAATTGCACTGCAATAGGACTAACTGCCTAATGAACTGATTCCGTCCAACTCGTTTTAGAGTTGCGTATAAGTCATGTCACACTGTTGAGAATTTCACCCACAAAGGTGAATAATGTAACCTGGAAACTGTCAGTCAAGATCAGTTTTCTCATATTCATTGATATACTTTGTTGCTGACTATGAACCGAGGCTGGCCGGCTGCCATTGATCTTGTTGTACTCACTAGTTTAATTTTTACACGCATGGTCATGTAATGCCTTCATGAACTTGGAGTGCGTTGATTGGTTGTAAATGTTTTCAGGGTCTTTTAGCCTTATTTAAAGAATCTAAACAATGTCACCATTCACCATAACAAAACTTTTAATCACTGTTTGGGTCACCCTAGCAACTGCTGCCAATCAGCCTTTGGTGTTTCCTATGAGATAGTAGATTCTTATGAAATAGAAGAAGCTAACTGGTTGCTTCAGCAGTTGCTAAGGTGATCTTTAGATCGTTCTTTATGGTTTGGTACAGTATTATCACCATTTAGAATTTCAGTTTCTATATTACCGAGTTTTCAAAATAGTGTGACATCCATTTATACTCACAATTTGAATTGCACCACAGTCAAATTGAAAGTAACTTTAAAGGCTACCCTAGTAGCTGTTAAAATAATCAATCAGTTATCGTATTTTGTCTGGGATGGTAGTTCCTCAGCAATTTCAAGGGTAGTCTTTAGAACCACTACACACTGAACAAGAAAATGTTAAGCTGCCTTTTATCTATCTGTATATATATCAATATTCAGGGTGTTTGTCGGTTGATGAGTTTTCGAGGTTGAGGTGAGTTCATACAATGTTCTGGTTTCCGTTGCTTAGTAGGAAATAGTCAGTTTCAGGCATAGAGTTTAGCCTCAAAAGCTGCTGGTAAAATATGTCACAAAGAATTACTGTAAGTCAGGGAGAAATTGAAGTCGCCAGATTGAGTTGTTGACTGAACTGCTTCTTTGGGTGTCAAACGTTTCGACGTCACGTTAGACATTTTCATCAGTGCTTCAAAAAGAAATGAAGTAAACTTGCCATTATTGATATATATAATACTCTACTTTTTTCAAAGTAACTTGATTGGACATAGGGTGAGAGTGTTGGCAAGTGCTGAATCTGATTAGTTGACGATTTGCCTCCGGCTTTCTCCGGCGAGTGTGCAACTAAGACACTGGGTGAATGAAATGAGCAATCAGGTTGCAGTTATGTAAAGTAGCATTTTATAAATATTTATATGCAATCAGTTTAATTCAGTGATACGCTGATGAGGAAGTCCAGCATAACAACGAAACGTCAACTAACCAATAATATAGTTCACAAGATTTCTCTCTCTGAACTTCCACACCTTGATCTACACTACTTCTCAGTTAAAGTCTGTTTCATTCTGATTCTTAAGACTTCTTATAGGGTTCAGTTTTGAGGTGGTAAACATTGGTTCAGATGTATTATCCCAAAAAGATAGACAAGCACATCAACATATATATTTTTTCAAATTGTCATATTTGCAGTAATATGCATCCTAGATGTTTTGGGTAGATTTAGGTAGAATACCTACTTACTACTATGAGATAATAGGTCCCTAACGATCTTTACATGCATTCTGATAAGCAACTGAATATCTTTCAGAGAATTCAAATTAAATCTCATTGATTGTTGGTATACCTGGTGATTTCTGGCTTTTTTCAGCGGAAGGGGCAGGGTTTTGGAGGAAACATATGATGCACTATTACACTTGAGTGTCTCAGCTGCCAATAGTAAAGTGCTGTTATTTCCTTTTTCTTTCACAACGAATTGTTTCCTAGGAAAAACAGTAACACAAAAACTGAAGATATCCATATTTTACAGGATACCTTTGAAGATTTATGCTCACTTGTTAGTCGTATTACAGAAGAGAATTGTCATTTCCAAGAAAATCCTATTAATCAGTTAGATAATGATTCGATGGTGGGAGCATTTAACAAAAACAATCTTACTACTTATTGTGATAAAGTAAATAGTAGCATAAACAATGAACTCGGAGAAAATAAATTGAAAAATGTACGGAAATGTATGGACTATTCTACTGGAAACAAAAGTAATAAGCAAAGTTGTACTGATAAACAAGTGAAAAGTCATATTCATTGGAAAACATACGCGAAAACTCGAGCCGTACAAACAGAAAGTTCAAATGACCTAATTGATGGCAATGCTAATATAACTGATTGTATGAAGCGAAATCAATATGTGAGTTGTGTGACTTCATTATGTAACACTTGCTCACTTTTTTCAGTTAATTTCTTGAAGAATTCAGATTGTTATTTTATAAAGTATTGGAAAGGTAATAAAGAAAATGATCACTAGAATTCAGTTCGAATCTTTCATTGGTAACTCCTGTGACTACCACAACTGGTTTATATGGTATGAATACTGCAAGACAAAATGACGTCATCTCATTCTGCTTTATTCAAATAAAAAGAGGAATGTTAAAATATAGGGGTAAATTTGAATAAGTTGAAGATAGTGTACGTTATTCTAAAAAAAGCAGTTGGCAGGCAATTTAGACACTTGAAAACCCTGTAGGCTGGCTCCTAAACTTGCAAGCATCCTCTTCTTCCACCTTCTATTGAGGATCCTAAGGGACTTTGGGGCAACAGTATCAAGCCTAGAGTCTCGTTAGCAAGTTTTGCAGAGTTTCCTTCTGTGCTCTTCAGCCATCTAAATAGGTTCACAGTCATCTTGATAGGCAGATACCTCGGCATTTCAACTACGTATTTGCATCCGTAGACAAATCCATATTCAGTTATGTCGCGGATTCGAGCTCTGTCTCTATCTCGTCCTTGAAGTATACGTTTAGTGGAACTGAGAAAACTACATTTGACAGCGTAATATATGCTTCTGGATAGCTTTACAGCATTCTTCTAACCACATCCAGCATCTCACCGTCTCATAAAAGATGGCTGATAAAGACTGACCACTTAGGTATTGCTAAGGATTATTATTATTTGCCCCTTCATTTCCTGATGGAACATAGGGCTTCAGTAGCACATCTCCAGTGCACTCTGTCCTCTGCAAACTTTTGAACCTGGTTCCATGACAGCCCACAAGCTCTCATTTCCTCCTCGCACGATCTCCCCCATGTCACCCTCAACTGGGACGCCCAACTCGTCTCACCCCATCTGGGTTCCACTCAAAGTCCAAGCCTGGTGCGTGATGTTCCCAGTCGGCCTCCTCAGTGCATGCCCAATCCATCTCCACTTCCTTCTGCATATTTGTTGAGCAATAGGTTCTTGCTTCGTTGGTTCGTTCCCAGAGTGCGTTCCTTGTTGCTTACTCCTTCTGACCATCCATCTGAGCGTCAGTAACGAGCCAGCGTAGGCAGTTGTTGATGAATGTCTGTAGTTTGTTGGAAATCCCTTTCGTAAGACGCCAAGTCTCAGAACCATACAGGAGCACTGACTTGACTGAATTGGTGTTGAAAATCCGGATGTTGTTCACGCTTTATGCTGAGCGCAGAAGATCTCCACACTGGTTTCAGGCTAATGAACGCCTGTCTTGCTTTTCCGATCCTGGCTGGCTTTGACGTCCTCGTCTGTGCCGCCTGTAGTTGAAACAGTGCTGACTAGGTGGGTGGGTGAAACAGGCTACTTCCTTCAATTTTTTCCCGTTGATGGTGATTGAAGCTTGTTGTTGTTGGTTGGGTATCTTCATCACCTCTGTCTTCTCTACGTTCACTTGAAGTCCCGTCTTCGCTGCCCTGCCTCTTCTATCGATTTGTTAGTTTTCGCCTGTAGATCTTCAAGTTTGTGCCACAAGACATTAGACACAAGTCATCACTGGCGAAATCCAAATCTTCTAGGTTCTTCTCCGCAGTCCAGCGTATCCCCTCTTCTCGCTCCTCACTGTTTGCTGCATGATCCAGTCCAGTCGACCGAAATCAGGAATATCATGGGTGATAGTAGGCAGCCTTGTTTTACTCCTGTCTTCACTTCAAAAGCATCACTGAGCTTCCCATTGTGAATTACTTGGCATGTGGCGTCTTCATATAGTTGTTGGATGAGATTGATAAAGGTGTGTGGTATTCCGCAGTGTTGAAGCAGCTGCCAAATTACTTCTTGGTCGACGCTGTCTAAGGCCTTTTCAAAGTCGATGAAGTTTGGGTAGAGAGTTGAGTTGACTGCCATTCTATACTCTGTTCTATGATAATGCGAAGCGTTGCAATTTGGTCCTCACGTGATTTGTACTCCCTGAATCCAGACAGCCTGTTCCGGTGGTAGTTTTGAATCCAGTGCATCCTTTAGTCTCTCCCAGATGATGCGGCCTAATATTTTGCTTGCCTTGGGTGGACAGGAGCGTGATTCCGCACCAGTTCTTGCAAACACTGAGGTCTCCCTTCTTCGGGAGTTTGACAAGGTAGTCCTCCTTACAATCAATTGGCAGGTACCTTCCCTTCCTTCCACACCTTCTGTAATAGTGGTGTGAGCATGTCCGCTGCTGTTGTCTCTGCATCCACTGTCAGTGCTTCTGGCGGAATTCCATCTGGTCCTGTTGCTTTCCCGCACTTCAGTATCTTTATAGTGTTCAGGACTTCTGCTTTTGTCGGAGGGCCTGAGTTAACTGATAGTTCTGCCGTTGATGATGGTATTTCTGGGCGAAGTGCAGGTGGTGGCGGTGGTCGATTCAAGAGCTTTCTCAAGTGGTCAGCCCATCGTTTCTTTTGTTTCTCTTCTTTGATAATTAAATTTCCTTCATCATCTTTCATTGGTTTCATCTGTGTTGATCTCTTCCCAGATCGATAGTAACCAGGTTATTTGATACAATGTTGTCAGGTCTCTCCTACCAGCCGGCAGCCTGTTCTGCTTCACTTGCCAGTGTGTCGTGGAAGTGCCTTTTGTCTTTCCGCGCACTCGTCCTCACTTCTTTGTCCACTGTAGTGTTTCATATATTGTACTCAGTTCCTCTTCTCGTCGTTCATCCTTGCACTGGTTTATCTTTTACTTCACCATCCTCCTCTCCTCTCCTCTCCTCTCCTCTCCTCTCCTCTCCTCTATTAGCTTCCATGTGTCCATCGAGATCCATTCCTTATCTTCTTTCTGCTTGCTTCCTAACACGGCTATGCAGGTTTCTTTCCACATAGCTTCCAAAGAATTCTAGTGTTCATCCACACAGGTTTCTTCAGGGATGTTCCACGATATCTCGCACTTTGTCTTGATGGCTACCATGAAGATTTTCTTTGTAGTTTCGTCTTTCAGTTTCTGGGTGTTGAACTTGAACTGTGGTCTATCACCAGCTTCCTTGAAGGCTTTCAACTTGATTTGGAAGGTTCCTTGCACTAGATAGTGAGTGGTGTGAACCTATATCTGCTCCTCTTCTTGACCTTGTGTCAAGTAGGCTGCGTCTCCACTTTCTTCACATTGAGATGAAGTCGATCTGGCTTTTAGTTTAGTGTGTCCATCTGGTGAAATCGAATCCATGTCGCTTCGTGGATATCCTTGTGCTTGAACACACTACCTCCAATCATCAAATCGTTGAATGCACAACATTCTGCAAACAATTCTCCTTTCTCGTTCATTTCACAGAGTGCTTGCTTCTCTACCCATGGTTTGTTCTCTTCCTGTGTTGTCCGCTCCCAGTTTCGCATTCATGTCGCCCATCAGAATTTTGATGTCGCCAACTGGAGTGGGGTCTTGTCCAGTACTGATTGCAGTTGTCTGTAGAATTCCTCCTTCTTCTCTTCATCTGCATTATTTGTAGTTGCATAGTGTAGCACTGTACGATTGTGACTTTCCTTCCTTTTGAGTTGAACCTTGCTGTCATGATCCTGATGGTGGAGGAGATTGGTTCCCACTGCATGACAGCCTTCGATGCTCTTGAGGACATCATGATAGCCACTCCGAAACTCAGTGTGCTCGTGGTTGTCGTTTGGGTGACAATATCGGAGTAGGTTATTGACTGTCCAGTTGACAGTTTGGAGAGTCCACTTCCATTCCGTCTGCTTTCGCGAATTCCTAACACTTCAATGTGATACCTTCTCATCTCCTTTGCAATCTGCACTGCCTTGCCAACTACGTTCAAGCATGGTGCGGACATTCCATGTCCCCACGTTTACTTTCGCTTTCATGGAGAGAAGCGAAGACACATCGGCCAATTGGCTTTCCGAAAGCTTTCACCAACTGGCGTTATTTTGCCTCTCCGATTTCGGGGAGTAATAATTTTGTTTTTATGTTTCATAGTTTGTTTGTGCTTTGAAGTTTCTTTAGCAGTTGGATTTGTTTCACGGGGTAGGGTTTCTAGGCCTATGCACAACCTTCCCTCTTTTTCCGGTCTAATGACCGGCATGTAACTAGTGGACTAGTTCGCCAGGCGAGGTTATTGCTAAGGAAACCTCGTTGTCTTTTGAACCTTCTGCATATTTGTCAACAAAGTTCCCTGGTTATCCGTTTTTTACTGGAGTGCTTTCCAGGGTCATTATTTTATATTGAACTTAGCCAACAGAACAGATTTTTGTGGCACTATTAAGGAATATCCTAACCACATTCTTTTTGTTCTGGATCTGGCTAAAGCTATCAAAATGGGCATACTTTCTTGTTGACGATTGTTTTCTACAAACCCATCTTTCAGTAGACCCATCAGTTGTTTCCTCCAAATAGATGTCCAATTATCTGATTATATCATGCTCTCATGCTCTTTCATGAGATTGGTTAAAATTCTTCAGTAATGGTACTGCCTCAATCTCGTCTGGTTAGCTAGTCCACTAGTTACTAGCCGGTCCTAAGCCCAGGTAAAGAGGGAAGGTTGGGCGTAGAGCTAACAACTCTACCGTGGAAAACCATTCCAACTGATAAAGAAACTTCGAAGCACAAACAAAATATTAAAAATAAAAACAAACTTATTCCTCCCCGAAATCGGAGAGGCAAAATGACGCCGGTTGGTGAAAACTTTCGGGAAGCCAATTGGCCGATGTGTCTTCGCTTCTCTCCATGAAAGCGAAAGTAAACGTGGGGACATGGAACGTCCGCGCCATGTATGAACCTACCAAGGCTGCCGGGATTGCGAAAGAGATGAGGAGGTATGGCATGGAAGGGCTTGGAATCTGCGGAAGCAGATGGAATGAAAGTGGACTCTCTAAACTGTCAACTGGGAGTTACTAATATACTGATCATCATCATCAACACCACCTTCATTACTGGCACTGATTTCCACTCTACTCCGGTAAATAAATGCGAAGAGAATTAATTCGCTAGCACTATTCCTCGCTTTATTTCAACTGAAATTGCATACACATCCACCTCATCCTTTTCAATTTGTCCTCGTAAAAATTACTGAATGACTTTCATCAGTGACCTTTTTGTCCGATATTTACAATCAAGACGAATATGAATTGGAGTACGTACATACATACGCCTTACTACGAAAGACATACAATTTCACACTGAATGATTAGTCATCATAATTTAGAAAGACAATGACTATACGAAGAGGATTGGACAAGGTGATTAAATACACGTTTTTTGAATTCATTTATACATCCTTGATATTTTAATTTTGATTATTTTTCTGAAAAGGCGAAACATTGGAATTATTTGATTTCAAACCTATCGTGACTTACACAAATACAATCTATGTCTAATGTCGACCTTTTACTCAGAGCCCAATATTTGCCATACTATACGATCAAATCTTGATCATAGTTTATATAAGTTTAAAGTACATTTGAAAGTTTCATGTCAGTGTCTGATCTGTGAATAGAAGTTGCGGTTTATTTCTATCATTTTAAGCATCTCTGAGTTTGTAAAATGTTCTGCAACACATGTGAAGATTAACAATGCTTTGTGCTGTGTTTTTACCATTTAATTTAAACTTCCTTTTCTTTTTTATAATATTACCCTTAACATCAGGATCAAACCTTTCATCCGCATATCGCTTGGATAACTACAAATACAACAAAAGCAATCACAACACCTACAAATGTTACCGCTCATTCTGTTGCCATACTTGTCTCTGAATCAAATGACCCAGCAGAAAAGGATTTATTCCCTTTAACAATCTCAGGAGATCCTAGTCAACTAACCAACACTTCGATGAATAGTAATAATAATGATCTATGGGTTATGAACTATGAAAGTAATGATGATACTAATAATAACTATAATGATAATAATGCTGATGATATTCACTGTGTCCACTGTTTTAATGTGAACAAAAATGATAACATTCCCATTAGTACTTCAAGTTCGCAAATGATAAATAATTTCAAAATTTGTAAAAAACGTTCTCAAACAGAGCAAGTCTACGCTCAGTTGAAAGCAGCTACGATTATCAGTACAAGTTCATATGCTCAAAATCCGTCAGAAGGCGAAGAAACAGGTCAGTTACAGTTTTGACTCCGGCTAAATTTTATTTCTCTAATGTCAATAAAAGATTTTTATTCGTCAGAATTAGTCATAAAAATTTTACAACCATCCTGTCTCGGTTTTGACTACAGTTCTGTCATCATGAATAAAATAATGCTGTTGAATTATTGTGTATTTCAATACATTGAATATACCTATTTAGACATTTAGAAAAACACTGATTGAGCGAAGAAATATATTCCTTTTCAATTAGGTCTTCATCTTGGGCTCTACACTAATATATAGGAGGTTTACAATTTAATCAAATTACCAATCACGTGGTGTTTCGAAATAATGATGTAAATAATCAATAGAGTTACTTAAATAGGAAATATGAATAGTGATAGAAACAAGAAGGGGAAGAGGTGTACAAAATAAACCTAGAAGTTACATCATGTTGACGGCCACGGTAATGAAAGTGGTCGAACAAACTTCTTTTGGATACAAAGGCTAGGTTTGTAAAGGTGGATTGCTTAGCATACCGTGCATCAGCTATTTGCTCAGAGGATGCTATAAAGGAAGAGTGCGCCACCATCCGTGATCTGCTTAGTAGGAATGGCTACCCAGACAAGTTTGTAACTAAGCACATGAATATTACGAGGGTTAAGAAAACAATGCCAACAGTTCCTAAGAAGCAAATCTTCTTGAAGCTGCAATTTAAGAGTGATATTGCCAGTGAGATCATCCATCACACAACGCATAAAAAGAGTCTTGCATAAAGCATTCCCAGCCACTAAATTATGTCCCGCCTTCTACAACCCCCCGATTCTAGGTGCAAGAAATAAAGGCAAACTGCCTGATTCTTCCACTTCTATGTGCATTTACCAATTCAACTGCTCCTGTGGAGCGAGTTACATTGGTCGTACAATGAGGCAGTTCCATCGTCGAATTTCTGAGCACCACCCATCATGGTTGAACAAGAGACAAATTAGAACTATAAAGAGCTCCATACTTGCACACTTAGTTGACAAAGGACATCAAGTGGTTACTGGAAAAGCCTTCAAAATTATCCATCAGATTTTAATTAATTTACCTCATGGATTACGTACTCGGCTACCTCACATAGCAGAGGCGATTGCAATCCACCTTTACAAACCTAGCCTTTGTATCCAAAAGAAGTTTGTTCGACCACTTTCATTACCGTGGCCGTCAACATGATGTAACTTCTAGGTTTATTTTGTACACCTCTTCCCCTTCTTGTTTCTATCACTATTCATATTTCCTATTTAAGTAACTCTATTGATTATTTACATCATTATTTTCGAAACACCACGTGATTGGTAATTTGATTAAATTGTAAACCTCCTATATATTAGTGTAGAGCCCAAGATGAAGACCTAATTGAAAAGAAATATATTGTGTATTTCATGTTTACTGCTTTAGGTCAAGGGGATATCGTTCACTGACAGGCGACATTATCTCTGAAGTTGATGAGTCTCAAATGGAATGGAAGGTGTTTCATGTATTTCACTACTAGTCATCGTCCATCTATTGTTAAAAAATACTTTGCACTGACCAGTGTATCTGTAATCTATGATTTGTTTGACGCTGCACCAAATATTGATATCAGATGCACTTCAAATAATTAATTTCACTGACTACATTCCCAGATCGGTAAAACATGATCACCATGGAGGGTCAAAGCTTGATAAGAACTTTATGTAGATAATCCCATTGTGTAAGAGTTACTTTTAGTATCGATCAAGACAGTCATGACAGGATCAAATTTACTTTAGATTTTAGTTGACAAGTAATCCCCGAGTTCAAAGTACTTATTTTACAACTAATAAGAAATAGGATCAACGATTTTGACACTGGCAGAGTCCAGATTCTTGTCTGAAGGCTTATAATACTACAAATACGACGTATATTTGTGCCGCTAAAGTTGGTCTCCACATTCAGAGGTGATGAATGAACTTCAGAAGCAATCTGGTAGATATCAGCTAGTCACCTCATGTTTAGAATTTTGCCTCCATACTGATTGTGCTATTACACTTAGCTGGTAATTGGGTTCTCCCTTAAGCACAATATGACTAATATAACTACACTTTCTTGATTCATACAAACCAATAAATTGACGAAAGATAACTCAGTAAAGAAAATTTTTTCTTCGATAAGCCTGCTTAGTTTTCCATCTGACATATGGCATCAAATTTTTCTGCAAATATGTTCTTTTTAACCATTCTGTTATATCTTCTAATCGTATCACATATTCACGCACATTTTTAAAAAGTTTACGGCCTTTTGCCATGCCAGTATCAAATAAGATTAGCAAAAGTATCACGGTGGATGGCAACGTGTTTGGAAGCAAATAACTTTATTTGAAACAGTTCCTTTTACGAATTCCTATAGCATAATTTGAAGACGAAGTTTATCTGAACAATGTGATGTATTTGTTCGAAATGTATTGCACAAATACGTGATATTGTTCAGATAAACTTCGTCTTCGAACTGCGCTGTGGAAAAATGACTTTATCTCAATTGACTCTGCCTGAAGTTACAAGCACGAACTACAGGTCACCGCAGGGAAAAGTGGATTACTTACAATCTCTTATATCCTCCGATATATATCTTAATACTGGAGTAATTAGACTACAAGAAACTTAATTACGTGAACTTTATGATGATAATTCTATTTCTTTGAATGATTTCAAAATTTTCCGTCAATGTGTATGTAGCTTTACTAAGAAAAGTGGAGGTGGAGTAGCTACCTTCATCAATACCCACTGGTGCATTCCTAGTTATATATGCTTCAAATTCTCAAATGATTACATAGATTGCATCACTGTTGGATACCGGCCAAAACAGTTGAACAGGTATCGCCTTATTTATTTCTGTCACAAATATTTACGTGACACCTGGTTGCAGTACTCCGAATTATGCAGTTTCTCAGATATATTCACCGAATTCGCTACCCCTATACTCCGTGGGTCCCTGTCAATAATATAAGGTGATTTGAATTCTTGTGACCAAAGCTTTCTCAAAACTCTTGGTTATCAAAACCTTGTTAACTTCACAACACGTCAAGATGCAACACTAGGCTTCATATTTGTCAACAATACTGATATATATATATATATATATATATATATATATATATATATATTTATATATACAGCAGACTTCACAAAGCAGCCTTCAAATATAAGAAAATTGTACATATAAACTATTCACATAGTAACGTACTTAATCTAAGAGAAATGCTATGATGTACAGACTGGAACATTTTTGACAGCGATGTTTTCAACAACCCTGCTCATGGTGTGACATGCTATCTCAAGTCCTGTCTAGATACATCTGTTGCCCTAGTGACAAACGTTTTCTATGCTTCGATCATACATCTTCTCCCTAACTTAAGAGACTAAGATGAGCAAAAGAAAAACTATATAAAGTAAGTGATAATGCTGGTGCTTGTCGATTGAACGTTATGATTAGATTGGAAATTAAACATCTAAGTCTACTATATAACCAGAAACTCTTGTCATGCAAAGGCTCTTCCAGCATGTGGAAACGTTTTAAAGACTTCACTGGTTATAAACACCTTAGTAAAGAAGCACATGTCAACATCTGTGCTTTGAACAAATCATTTATACGTCAACCCACTTGTTCGATCCAATTTTGTCCAATGAAGAGTGTTGTCCAGAGTTCACCGCGAAAGATTTTTTCAAATGTCTCAAATCCCCGAACCCTTGGCACAGTTCAGGTCTGGATGGTGTGTAAAGCTTCGTATTCACGAAGCGTACTGATATTTTATGCCGTCCATTAGCTATCATTTTCAACAGATCGTTTTTAGAAAACGGCATACCACCTGCCTGGAAAAATATTAAGATAGTCCCCGTACCTAAGTCAAGGACTCCAGGTGCATGTGCGAAATTCCGTCCACCCTTAAAAGTAATGGAGAGGTTAATAATACTTGTTCTGGAACCCTTACTGAAGGCTTTCGGAAACCCTAGTCAATTTGCTGATAAAAGCAGAAGAAGCACTTTGGATGCCACCACTGTCTTACGTCACAGTATTGCTTGCAATCTTGATAGAAAGGACAAGTATGTCAGGTGTGCCTTTTTAGACTACACTTCAGCACTTGATTCTGTCCCAAGACCTTTTTTGCTGGACAAGCCAACCGGGACAAGTACGGAATCCTGGACAATCAGCTGACTGCATTCCTGTTTCTCTGATAGGAAAAAACACTGTTCTCAGATGGAAGCTCTCTACCTCATTGCTTACTGTGACTGGTGTTCCCGAAAGAGCCAACCGTTCCCCCTGTCTTTTCTCTTTCTTTCTGCAAGCCTCACCATCTTCGGCTAATACCAGTTTCGTCAGATGTGCTGATGATTTAACATTTTCCATACCTATCTCCTCTTCAGCAGATGGTTCCCAACTGAATTATTTCCTATCTACTGTTAGACGATTGTCCTCCGTGAATGGTCTTATGCTTAATTCTTCAAAATATTCGACTATAAACTTTAGTTTCAGAAGTGAACATAACCTATGTAAACTGCTTGGTTCTTATGATTCATTTTCTATTGATAGTTGTGCACTAGAAAATGTTACGAGTGTGATTTATCTCGGTGTTTTTCGAACCCTTCCTGGCCCTCTCATATCCTACTGATCCCCAAAAGGATCTTCCACTTAACTTTCTACATTAGGTGAGTGAGAGTATCTGGTATTACTCAGCCTCTCCTATTGTGTTATATAAACTCCTGCATCTTGCTTATTCTCCTCCATTGTTCTCCTTTATTTTTCCCGGGTTGCTGGAAAAACACTGTGCTATATTGCGTAGTACTTTGAAAATTGTCAGCAAAACCTGTGGTGTACCTCTAAACCTTCTAACTGACACTGTCGTGGACAAACATTCTAGCTCACGTTAACATCTGGCAGGAGTTATTTTATCCGACTACCAGCATTCTCTTCACTCACATTTTTCTGTATGTCGATCATCTGAAAAGAGAAGGAGCAAGTACATAAGACTCTATGCACGTACCGCAAAATATAATTACCCTACAATACCGTACTTAGTTCGCCTGTTGTGCGATGAAGAAAGTATTGCAAGTATTGCGAATCAACTTCTGTTTCTGAAAGCAAACTAATTGATTCTGAGAGTGGTACTATTTACTTATTATGAATCTAATTACTAATGTGACTGTCTAGTTAAATTAACTGTACATTTTCAAGAAAGTTGTAGATAGAGTGAATATTCTCATCTTTTTTTAATGCAATTTATACTCATTTCATTTTGCTATGTATACATGTACACTGGCCAATTGCTGCTATATGGCATTGCTGAAAATTCTGTAGAGTATCCTCGAAATAGCTTTCAGAATAAAGCCATTATTCTTATCGTATTTTCAGAAGTTTTACATTCGTACTTACAGTTACAATTTTAAAAAACATATGTTCATCATGCCCAATGAATCAGTACAAGGCTTATGTAGACAGTTTCACAATAGCAGATGAATTGGTAAACGCATATCCCGGTGGCTGATAGCGGTAATTTTTCCCTAACATTTCTATCTACGACAATTTCATTATCTGTGAGATCAAATGTCACCTTGAATATATACCACAGAAGTTCCATAGACGTTACATAAAAACTAAGCTCATTGTAGAAACTAATGATAACCCAGAAGACTGATTTACACGAAACAAATCTTAAATGGACAATATACCAGTTTTTTAAGTTAATTTCTGATAGGAAAGAAAATAAATCTAGTTAATTCATCATACACAAGAGTCAGAAGAATTTGTACAGATGACGTACCAAATGAGGAGTTGGAAGTACTTCAGAGAGTTTTCATTGTGAATGGTTATCTCTCAAAATTCACTGAGTGTAACCTGAAGCTTGAACACTGCAGAGAAGGAATTCCTACGGTTCCAAAGAAAACACTGTTTATGAATATTGGATCTAACTGAGATACACTAGCAGAGATACCTAAGAATCGACTGTGTAAGGCACGAAAAAAACTTCTTTTCTATCCGACTTCGGATTGTTTTCTTCAGTCAACAACTAATTCCAGGGTGTGTAAAGGTTTACGTTACCTCCATGTTTTTTAAACAATCCACCTTTAATGGCGCTGGCTATACAGTCAGTACAAAGCATGTTCTGTACAAGTGCATCCCTGAGTAATTTCCTATATAGCTGTCTAGGGGAGAGTAAAAAGCAATTAACACCTGGAATCTCGAATATTTGGCAAGCCCTGGTCATCACTCTACTCCACCTGAATCTTTCTTCATAGGCATTTATAAAGTCGAGTCGAACATTTCGAAGGGATTGCCACCTGAATACATCAAAAGCCTTGATAATTCATCAGTTCAAGCTTGATGTCTGCCTCCAGGGTCTAATTTCATCTCGGTCATAATCTTCCTACGACACTATTTATTTTTTATTTTATTTATCAACATTATTTTAATCTCGTTTCCTCACTCTGTTATTGTTAGTTTCAATAAGACTTTTCGAAGCTCTCCTACCACTCCATAGATTGTTATGTAATCACTTTACAACTAGCCTGTCTTAACCCTTAAGCTATTGCTTTGGAATCCTGCAAACAATTATTTCATGACCTTATGGCCATTATCAACCTGTGACTCCGATGGCAATTTTCGATGACTTTGTACTAACTTATTAACCATTTATAGACATGTATTTTCGTTGTGACTATAATTATGAATATACAGTTTCTGAAAATAATTCGTCAAAGAAAAAAGTTTTTTGATGAATTGTCTTTATAAGATTTTTCATTAGTTAATGAGATTATTTCGATTCTTAATAAAATATATAATTTAGTCTTTTTGGCTTTAATACTCTGCTTAAAATGTGTTCCATACACATACGATGTCTCGCTTCTTATTTAGGCATTTCATTGATATTGGATAATCAATTAGTAAATGATTTACAACTCGTACAATCCTTGTTGACATCCCTCACAAGTGAGTATGATCTTCAACTCCCTAACTGTGGTGTCCGTAAGGTTCCGGTTGGAAACCGCCTGATATATATCATAAAGTGTGATCTCCGACAGAAGAGTGTCACGAACCAACAAGAGATGAGTAGTTAGGAATGACTGCCGCTAATCTGCAGATTTTTTTTAGTCATAACAGAGATATGTAAACACTGGACGGGCATTTCACACGTTTAGAGCCAAAGTAATCACTGGTGTACACAGACAAATTCAGCTCACAGAGGTGAATTTAGACCAACTGAACTTCTTCACTGAGGATTTTACAATTAGTACAACACGGAGCAAGTATAGTGAGACTTCAAGCACAAATGTCAACGATATTTAACTTTTATAATCAGTCAAAAATCCATACCATTCATGCATGCATTTTATAGATGGGTTTAACAGTGAAACAAACACTTTAAATTTTGAGGGGTTGTGGAGATTTGGAATTATTTCAAGTTTTTATTCATCGAAGACTGACATCAGTTGGAGGAACAAAAGAAACCTGGGAGCACTGGACAGCTGTTTCGTCCTAGTATGGGACTCCTCAGCAGTGCGCACCCACGACCCCACCAGCAGGGATCGAACCGCGACCTTCAGGTTCCGCGACCAGTGCGTTACCATTGAGCCACTGGGTCAGCCAACTGATGTCAGTCTTCGATGAATAACAACTTGAAATAATTCCAAATCTCCACAACCCCTCAAAATTTAATTGAACTAGTGCTCGTTGGTGACTAGCTTCGAGAAGTATTCCCGAAGTTCCAATGACAAGTCGTGACCGGTGGAGTCAAAGCCTGATGGCCGTGAGGACAAATACTCAACGATGACATTGGGTGGAGGTCTGCGCTATATCGTGAGCTAACAGAAGTTGGAAATATGGAGCATTGGATTCTGACCCAGTGGCTCAATGGTAACGCACTGGTCGTGGAACCTGAAGGTCGCGGTTCGATCCCTGCTGGTGGGGTCGTGGGTGCGCACTGCTGAGGAGTCCCATACTAGGACGAAACAGCTGTCCAGTGCTCCCAGGTTTCCTTTGTTCCTCCAACTGATGTCAGTCTTCGATGAATAACAACTACAAACACTTTAATCAAGTGCTTTTAAGCATTGCAAATTTTCTACTGCATTTACGTTAAATAAACTTCATAAGACTATCTAGAGTGAAGCTTCGCAAACTATCACGTCATTGAATACTCAGTAATCACATAACCATAAAAAACGAAGTAATAGCAAGATTTTAGACTTCTACTATAAAATAAACAGCGAAAATTTCTATAATAATATCACCAAATATAAGCTGTTTCAGATGCTACGAATCAATTCACAGGAATCCCTGTTAAACACAGGTTCCGTGCTTGGTAGCATTCACTGGTCGATAAGACATATTTGTAACCATGAGAAAACTGGCACCAGAGACGTTACCACTAAGAAATTCAGGCTGCAAGGGGCCTTCTGTAGTGCTGGTTGAAAATATGCCTAACTGATAAGTGCCAATAAGCGCAAAGCCTACGTCAAGAAGAACAGCCTGAAGGTTTAGTCCTAACATCTAACAACGAAGCACAACGCCCTACAATTTCGCATTATTACACCTTATAAGTCACACTGCAAATTCGATCTATTGATTTCAGTTAGTGCTAAACGCTAAGGAGGTGATAGATACAACCGTTACTCAATCGTAGTACATCCGTGTGCATAAATGATACCACCATCCTTAGAGAACTGTCCAGTAAACAGTGTTAACTAGTAGATAACGAATTTATGAATTAGCCTAAAATCGTTTGTGTTTCTTGTCTTACTCTTCGTCAACTGAAATCCATTTTCATACAACACCACATTTCTAAGAAGGCCGTCGGTGAGTAACAGATATTCCGACCATATCACTTTAAGCACTAACGTATACACGTATGACATCCAAATATGACTTACTGACATTGCAATAAGTGACTGAGTAGATACCAATGGACTGTAAAGAGGTAAAGATAATACTCGTTTCTTCATCCCACTACCTAAATCCAAATATAATACGAATCTAGAGTGACTCACATGTTTGTTTATGCAATATTTTATCAAAACGTTTATAGGCATTAAGAAACTCCAAGACACTAAATCAGAGATTGCAATGAATAACTTATGGCATTTAAATGCAAGGTCAATGTTCAATGAAGCTGACAACTCCACAAGGTAAAATAATTCTTTATTTACTAACTGGCTACTTTTGTCAATTTCAGTAAACTGCGTATGTAACCAAATTTTCTTTAATACAATATACTATCACATTTGACCAGAATAATATCTTTGGAAAGCATGCATGATAGTTCATATCAGTTTATTGACAGTTCACAACGCAGTACTCTTCAAAAAAGTCACCCACATAGTTGATACTCCAACTGACATCCATGTCAGCTAATCAGCGTCAACGTGGAACCCACCGTTACTTTGTAACAATCCGTTACTACATCTCAAGGAAGAGAGAGATAAGAAATAAACCAATTGAATTTACTAATAAGCTGTGAAAAGAAGACAAGAAAACATGAAAATGTAATGAAATTCGATATGACGATCACAGCGAAAGGAAAGAATGGGTGTATCTGAACCAGTGAGAGTCAGATAATTAAGAGTCTCCAACAACCGATTGAGGTTTGCAAGCAGATTACAAACAAGAAGTCTATATTCTTCTACACACCTTGAATTAACAGTCAAAGACTATATGGACTAACTTTACGCTTTAGTCTTACCACCTACCATATTTTTTCAACTCAAATCCACTTCATTTTAAAACGTCCGATAAGGTAGATGGTGAACAGGCATGCGCAATCCACGTGTCAGTTAGCCATCTGAGTCAATGAAGTGTTACCTCGTCGTCTAATGAATAACTTTTTTTACCTAAAACTCTACGCCACCGAGTTGTAGCTAATATCATACGTTCATCTTTCTGGCCTAGATGTATTGTGACCACTAAACTTTGCTAACGGACCTTCAAATTTACAATAACCAATTGAACGCCCAAGGTTTCTCTTGATATATCCAATCTCATCGCATGAAGGTTTGACATTGCGAGCCTGCGCAAAAGTCTAGTCAAACTGTTAGGTGTAGTTCTGTTCCACCAGATTTTTCACCAACAAGAATTAGAAACTATGAGGAATTCCAAAACTGCTGCATAAATAAGAAAAGAAACCAATTGTTACGAATCTCCCATCATACAGGCGACAACTTGCAATTTCAACAACTTTGCAGTAGGGATAAGAATTAAGTTTATTATGAGGCCATTAGTTTGTAGATTGAAGCGTTATAGAACAATATGGCATTCATTTCATAGACGGCAAATAAATTAGAAGTATTCAACCGATTTATTTCAGCAAAAACAGGAGTCTCATACTAGGATGAAACAGTTGTACAATGCTACCACTTTCCTAATGTTTCTAAAACTGATGTCAGTCCATGATGAATCCCAACCAAAAACAGAGATGATGTGACAATCACAAAGGATCACAGTGATATCTCTGAACTGCATTATTCTACCTTTTAACTGATGTTTTGCATAAACTTTAGGAAAATGTATTGCAAAAATGCATCGTCTGCAACAGAAAACAATGCATGCTTCTGGAGTGAGTGTTCTGAACGAGACTTATCCGGCTTACAAGACGAAACCTCATTATGAGAGGGTGACGTTGTACCAGAACATTGAATTTAACGGAACATTCAAGATATCAAATTTGTGAATCCAATCCAAACCAAGTACGTCTAAACCATGACGATTTGTTAGGTAACAGACATCATTGAATTTATGATCACCAAATTGAATATGGCAAGTAATCTCACTAACCAGTTTTAGGACATCTCCAGAAACATTTCTGGCAATATGGTCAGTTGGCTGGATCTATGGGCACCCAAGTGTGCGCCATGTGTTTCGAGAAATTAAAGTAATATCAGATGCTGTATCCAGCTGCAGACGAATAGGTTTACCATTAACAGATAGATTAACGTATCTTCTTTTGCTCCTAAAATCAGCTTTGGAAGTTGTGTAAATACCTTGAATTTTGCTGAATGAGTTGCATTTGACAAAAGCACATTTTGTCTGCATAGGAGCATTTGTATTTTGGGGACAGTAACCCTTTTTGTGCCCAAAACGATGACACTGCTGGCATTTGTGCTTCTTGAAGAAACAAAACTTTATAAAAATGCCATGAACCATGATACCAGCAAACTGAAGGAGGTTTGACATTAGAAGGAGGTTTGCCCGACGATTTTGATTCAAGTTGCATGTGCTTGGCTGTAGAGTGCGGAGTTTTCACTGCATAGATTGAACCCAAATCAGATGGCTAGGACTTTTGCTGTACTATATCTGCATCATGCTTCAAATTGATCAAGCGTTGGTATTCAGCTGTCACCATCTGCAGTGTCATTTTTGGATCTTGCTCTATGCGTGACAGGATTCTGGTTCGAATATCGGCATCTTCAGGATTCTGCAAACCACAAACAAATATTAAACATTTAAATTGGTCCGGCTTCATTTCGTTGAGCCTAAACCTCTCGAATTCCCGATTTACTTTAACAGCATACGTTAGATAATCATCTGCAGGTAATTTAGGTAATTGAAAACATTGATAACGAATATTAAACAGGGATGATTGTTCGCCAAATATCTGAGAAAGAATGCCGACTGTTTCATCAAAAGATAACTCCCGGGAATTTTTCGGCAGGATAAAATTGACATATTTGTTGTGTTCAACACTACCAAGTTTGCGCAATAATAGATGAACTTTGGCTGCATCACCAAATATGGAGCATTCAATACGAAAGACATCTTCATAGGGATTAAACCATGAATCAAAAATGAGACCAGCCATAGGATCATAATTAAACCCACTGGCAGAATTGGAAATGCTTTCATATTTATCTGAGTAGGATACTAAAGGCATTTGACTTGAAAATTTTTGAGTAAGGGCTTCAATTAGTTTCAGTTGAGCTGCTTCATTTTGAGCCTGCTGCAACTGTAAAATAGATTTCAGATCATCCAACGAGATAGACATTGTCAACCAAACAATCCTCGTCGCCAATTGTTGTGACCGAGTGGTGGGGTTGCGCGCGTGGGTATAATGAATACTGAGACTCAATAGACACCTCAACCGAATGCCTTTACGACTGACCTCCCTCAGTACCTTCTGCTTCACTTAGCCGCGGAGAAATCAGAAGACAAAGAGGGCCTATGACTGCAAGAACAGCGACAACAACTTTTATTAGACAAATACATGATATATATGTGTATTTACAAAACTCGGAAAGTGAAGCCACAAATGGAACGATCAGATTTCTTGTATGAGCTCGAATTCCTCCAATCAGGTCATTATGTCAGAGCATGCCTAAATCATGACCTGAGCATGATGTGATCACGACTTGAAAACTCCCTATTGGCTACCTTCTTGCCGCTACGCAACAAATTCATATAACCTATTAGTAAGACATGCATGTGTTAGGGAATGGTAGCAGTAATCATCGTTCCTTCTATCCTACTCATTTGTCTTTGTTCTGTCAAAGAATTTCTACTGTTGTTGTTTCAATTTTGTTTGCTTTTCGATTTTCATTTGAAGTGTTTTTCGTCGTTTAGTCATAATCTCTTGTTCTTAACTGGATTAAAAAGAGATGAACTCTTTTCTTTTTTCCTATCTACACTGACATTGTTTATAACATTCTCTTTGATGTTGACACCTTGAATAGAGTAAAACAAGTTACCATGAAAGAAGGAACAAGAAAAGAAACTATTCTCTGATATTAGATACAGGTTGTATTTCTATAATTATTGTTCATTTTATTTTATGCACATTCACGTTCATGCAAGACTTCATCAACTATATGATAATGTTAACAAACTGTTGAGTTGAGCGGAAAGTTTTAATGACTCATGATTTCATTTGGTTTTTTCATCAAATCTGACAATGTAGCCCTTCTTTAAAAACTTCCAATGATAAAGAAAATCAGCCTCTTTGGTAAATATCATTGCTCATTGTCCTAGGTTGTGAACAGTTGCGGGAGTTGCTTTAACTTAACACCATAAAATAATTGACTCTTAAATAGTTTACCACGGAATTCCACAATGTTTGCACAGATCGGTGTATTTCTCCATAAACACAGTTTAGAAGCCCACATGAAACACTAGGCTTTACAATAAGTAATGCTTGTCTAAGTTAAACTGTTACCAAATCTTTAAAGGTATCCAATATACCAAATAGATTCCGTTAGGAAAAAATTAATTCAACGTACCAGTGAGACAAAACACGAGATTTGTGACTCAGTCCAGCACTGAACTAAAAATACCAAGTTATCCAGTGTTTAGACGTTTATCGTACCGTTAAGGAGATAATTGAATCATAGCGAATCTTTCAAGTAAAATTAGACTTGAAAATGTAAAACTTCCTAAAAATATATATTCACAGTATAGCTCCGTTCAGCTGTTACCAAAAGGTAATAGCTTTAAAAACCATTCGAAATAACTGTGAATATACATTGCGAAATTGGAGAAAAAACAACAAATGTGTATCTAATAATAATAATAATAATAATAATAATAATAATAATAATAATAATAATAATAATAATCGCTTTATTACAAACAACATGTGGGGTACAATATGGAATTTTCAGCAAATAATATTCCAAGAAATTCTTTCATCGTACAGTATTTTTCAAAGAAATAATCATCGCACGTGAGTATTGTTAAGAATAACAGTATCAAAGGCGAGAATGTGAAACAGGCAACCGGTGTTACATTAGCCTCTGGTATGGACCGGAGATTGAATGGAAAATTGAGTATAAATTTTCTGTTGTAGTTTGCTCAACCCGTAGAAAAATCTACAATTCTATATCGGTATCCTAGGTATAACCTCCCCTGGCTAACTAGTCCACTAGTTACTAGCCGGTCATAAGCCCGAGTAAACAGAGAAGGTTGGGCATAGGCCTAGAAACCCTACCGCGGAAAGCCAATCCAATCGCTAAAGAAACTTCAAAGCACAAACAAACTATGAAACATAAAAACAAAATTATTACTCCCCGAAATCGGAGAGGCAAAATAACGCCAGTTGGTGAAAGCTTTCGGAAAGCCAATTGGCCGATGTGTCTTCGCTTCTCTCCATGAAAGCGAAAGTAAACGTGGGGACATGGAATGTCCGCACCATGCTTGAACGTAGTTGGCAAGGCAGTGCAGATTGCAAAGGAGATGAGAAGGTATCACATTGAAGTGTTAGGAATTCGCGAAAGCAGACGGAATGGAAGTGGACTCTCCAAACTGTCAACTGGACAGTCAATAACCTACTCCGATATTGTCACCCAAACGACAACCACGAGCACACTGAGTTTCGGAGTGGCTATCATGATGTCCTCAAGAGCATCGAAGGCTGTCATGCAGTGGGAACCAATCTCCTCCACCATCAGGATCATGACAGCAAGGTTCAACTCAAAAGGAAGGAAAGTCACAATCGTACAGTGCTACACTATGCAACTACAAATAATGCAGATGAAGAGAAGAAGGAGGAATTCTACAGACAACTGCAATCAGTACTGGACAAGACCCCACTCCAGTTGGCGACATCAAAATTCTGATGGGCGACATGAATGCGAAACTGGGAGCGGACAACACAGGAAGAGAACAAACCATGGGTAGAGAAGCAAGCACTCTGTGAAATGAACGAGAAAGGAGAATTGTTTGCAGAATGTTGTGCATTCAACGATTTGATGATTGGAGGTAGTGTGTTCAAGCACAAGGATATCCACGAAGCGACATGGATTCGATTTCACCAGATGGACACACTAAACTAAAAGCCAGATCGACTTCATTTCAATGTGAAGAAAGTGGAGACGCAGCCTACTTGACACAAGGTCAAGAAGAGGAGCAGATATAGGTTCACACCACTCACTATCTAGTGCAAGGAACCTTCCAAATCAAGTTGAAAGCCTTCAAGGAAGCTGGTGATAGACCACAGTTCAAGTTCAACACCCAGAAACTGAAAGACGAAACTACAAAGAAAATCTTCATGGTAGCCATCAAGACAAAGTGCGAGATATCGTGGAACATCCCTGAAGAAACCTGTGTGGATGAACACTAGAATTCTTTGGAAGCTATGTGGAAAGAAACCTGCATAGCCGTGTTAGGAAGCAAGCAGAAAGAAGATAAGGAATGGATCTCGATGGACACATGGAAGCTAATAGAGGAGAGGAGAGGAGGATGGTGAAGTAAAAGACAAACCAGTACAAGACAGGCGTTCATTAGCCTGAAACCAGTGTGGAGATCTTCTGCGCTCAGCATAAAGCGTGAACAACATCCGGATTTTCAATACCAATTCACTCAAGTCAGTGCTCCTGTATGGTTCTGAGACTTGGCGTCTTACGAAAGGGATTTCCAACAAACTACAGACATTCATCAACAACTGCCTACGCTGGCTCGTTACTGACGCTCAGATGGATGGTCAGAAGGAGTGAGCAACAAGGAACGCACTCTGGGAACGAACCAACGAAGCAAGAACCTATTGCTCAACAAATATGCAGAAGGAAGTGGAGATGGATTGGGCATGCACTGAGGAGGCCGACTGGGAACATCACGCACCAGGCTTGGACTTTGAGTGGAACCCAGATGGGGTGAGACGAGTTGGGCGTCCCAGTTGAGGGTGACATGGGGGAGATCGTGCGAGGAGGAAATGAGAGCTTGTGGGCTGTCATGAAACCAGGTTCAAAAGTTTGCAGAGGACAGAGTGCACTGGAGATGTGCTACTGAAGCCCTATGTTCCATTAGAAACACAAGGGACAAGTAAGAAAATAATTATGATTATCGTATGTATAGTAATATGCTGTATTTTTATGTATTTATAGTTTCACTTTGTACCGGCGTAACGTTTTTCCTTTGTCTTGTTGTCAGCTTGTAATACGGCAATTTGAAAACATTTTAAAAATTTGCGGAAGTGAGTGATACTCTCAAAAGACATACTTGGAAGGATGAAAGCAATTAAAATAGAAGAATTCGATCAAATATATCTGGTGGAAATGTGTTTGCTAGTCCAAGGTTTAAGGAGACCACTTGCAGTGATACCAGTTCATTGTTTATCTATATATTGATACGTGTACTTTTCCGTTAATTGTCATATTGAACCCGAACGACAGCCTAATAGACAATCTGTTGAAGCGATTAGATATTGGCTTCGAGTTTGTTTGGGACCACTATCATCACTCACTGAGAAGTAGGTACATTCAGATGACGAGTCCCGATAGGACGACACGTCTGTCCTGATTTCCCCTACGAGACACTACCAACCAGGTTAATTACCGCTTTTTAATAAGAGAACTACTGATACTAAACTGACAATGGTTGTGGGCATCGTAACCACATTCAACATACTATTTTGAGTAGAATTCAAGGTTAATGAATAAAAAAAATATCAAAATGAAGTATGTCCCACTTCCTAAGATTCGGAAAACAATATAAGATGAACGAATCTTGAAAAAGTAGCATGTACAACAAATGGAAAGAAATAGGAAGGAAGCATTCAGGTCACAGGTTTTTACTTCCGAGGAGTCGCGTACTACAACGAAACAGTTGTCTGGTATTCTCAGGTTTCCAGTAGTTCTCCAAATGACTTCAGTTTTTCATGTACACAATTCAGAATCAATCAGCCTTCACAAGCGTCTTAAATTTAAGGAATAATACTTATTAGAAATAGTATGAAATAGGAAGCACAAAAGAGTATAGAAGGAGTAATGCAATTACTGAATAGTAAATGATTTGTGGAAAAGAAAATTTCGAATATACTTAAAGTCCTTTGAAGCAAGGTTTCATACTGCGGACGTTTCAGTAACATACCAGTAGTGGTACGGTAAATATAAATTCCTCAATACCATCAAATGACCCATTCGAAGCCTGATTAATATATGTTAAAGTTCTTTGTTATTCTACAGGAAACAAAAACAACAAAAGGAATACAAATTACTGTAATAGTTATTAGCAAAACTATAAGCTGAAGGTCATTTTTAATGCGTATCCCAAGGTCATCTGACACACTTTTTTGATTTTACTGAAACGTCAGGTTCACTCATTTCACAGGAAACTACTGTCCGTTCTTCATAGCCATAATATTTTAAAGACTAACATAACATGATCCAAAAGAATAATATTGTACATCTTCAGGTAAGTGTTACACGGATCCAGTTGTCGAAACGACAAAGAAATTCGATAATGTTGAAACAATAATTACAGGTTTATCTATAATGTATCCTAGATTAATACTATCTTTCAGAGCAATAAAAAAGTTTGCACTTTTTAAATTTTGATAGATGAATAGACTCATCACTGTGTTTTAACTGATGAAAAGTATGCTGAGATGAATGACGGAAGTTAAAATTACAGTTCTGCAAGTAGGTTGGTGACAATAGACAGGAAGCTTTGTTTGACCTAGGTTTTGTTCTTGTTAACACGCGCGTCAGTCATCAAGGCCTATCTGCAATTGATGTTTCCTGTGAGCTTTGAATCCGTATCACCCAATACTGTACTCCAGGACATTACCACTGAGCTATTCAAGCTTCAAACGACTTCGTGTGCGAGTGGATTAGATGCATTGATTATTCACTGAAGAGAAATCATTGTCATGTGATCAATCAGTGTAGACTTTTGACACTGCTACACTAATTTACCAAACTTTCTCCTTGTATGAAATCAAAATGTTTCGACTAACCTAGAAATATTCAATTTTGTGGAAGACTTTCATTTAAAGTTATCCAGCTGTGGTCTGAATATCCATTTCACCTTCAGCCATCACCCAGTATAAATACTAGTCTGCCGAACCATGACTATCTCAGATAGTCAAAATGATAATCAATATGATGCTTTCCGTTGCTAATTCATTTAGACTTTGATTGGGATGAGAAGTCCTGACTAGGTAGCCAGCGTGAATACGATCAGTCGGTAGTTACGCGTCATGAATTCATATGGTAGCCGGACAAAATCTATGGTGATTGAAGCACCCGGACCTCGTAGCTCGGTTGGTAGAGCATCGGACCGTACACATGGTAGTTGTTGGTTTGAGTCCGGCCGCAGTCTAGATTTCTATTTCACCTTCAGTCATCCCCCAGTATACATATTAGTCCGCTAAATCACAGCTATCTCAGATAATCAAAATGTTAAATTTGTTTATTGTTTCGGTCAATGAAATAATGTAAATTCTCCTATTGACCCACACGATTCTTTAAAATATCTTTACCTGTTCTGACCTAGAAACCGGTTACGAAAGAATGAAATAACGTTTATTGACTAATCTTTTTAGCTTAATCGTTCAGTTTTCATATTTGGAACGACACTAAGAAGCTGTTGGTTTGAATCGTCCCCTTTAGCTAAAATTGTCCTCACTCCAAATAAAAAGCTTGGTTCTTTTAGTTCCCTTATTAGAGTGGGAAACTACTGGCATGAAAGTCAGTGGTTTAACAATGATTTATTTTCGTCTTCCTACACTGTCTCTCAACTAGTACAATTTTTACAATAATAAAATGAACAACTTTCTGCTTGATTAGTTGCCCTCCAGTGACTAATCAGTGTATCTAATCCAGTCCATAAGAGGTGACTCAGGACCTGAATAGCTCCGTAGTGACGTCTTTGACTGCAGCACAGAGTAACACAGGCTAGAATCTCACTCAGATAATTAGTTTCCATCAAGTTTGTAGAGACACCTTACAGACGAAAGCCATCAAGCTCGAACATCCCGATTGCCTCCATCTAATGAACAACTTTGCTTAAAATTCATAAATTACTTATATCATCTAATGGAAATTCTTATAAACACTCACTGTTATCTGAAAATATCTTTCGTAAAAGGTTAGATGATTTTGATGAAACATTTGTTCATAATAATTCTGATTGACTAACATTTATGCATCCCTCTCTTTTTCTTAATCCATCCATCTATATATTAAATTCGTTCAGTATCCCAATAAATCAACAGAATTCGCACAATGAGGAATCAATTGTTAGTGAAGAGAATAATGAAAACTACACGAAGACAATAAGTAATCAACAGTTGAACAATTGGGATGAGTTTAACATTGAACAGAATCCCTTGAACAACTTAACTTTGAACAATGAAAATATTCTACTTCTAAATGATACTAACTCTGATTGTAATAAGAATTCAAATATTAGTCATCGAAGGAATGCGCATTTAGATGTCGGTAGCCATGGTAACAATAATGATGATATTAATAACAATAATAATAATGACAATGCTTCAGATGATGAATTATTCGATGAGTTAATTATGGCAAATTATTGTCCATCAGTTGGAAAACCTACTGATTTCAACGAGAATTCAAATGATTACGATGAAATTGCGTTTGATAATTATTCACGAACAAATTCAAGTTTACACATGGAAGGGGGATCAAACCAATTTTATAGATCAGCAAATGATTCATTAATATCATAAGAAATGTTTGAACCTTCTTATAAAAGTAGAATAATCATGATAACTTTGTGTTTCAGTTCTTCTCCTTCTCCTTGATTTTTTCTTTTACAGGTATTCTGTTTTCAGTGTGTTGAATTGTTGAGCAGTTTTCGGTGACCCCATCAATCAAATGCTAGTGATGTATACATCAAACAGCCGAAAAACGCGACAAAGAGAATTCGTACACACTTCTTAAAATACATACACAAATACATAACCAGACACATACCTGCACACTTATAGACAAAAACAAGAAGTACGCGAAATAAAGTGTCTTCCCATTTTGATTATCTGTTTTGTTGTCCGTGAATTTTGTGGTATATAACCGAAAGTGAACGGAAATATATTGATAAATTGTTCTCCTTTGCTTTTATTTTGTTTTATTATTTGTGTTACTCGCGAGTAGAATGCTTTTGTTTACTAAATCATGACCACCAATCAAAGAATTCCAAATGAACAAAAACGTACAGATTCATTTCAACACTACAAGTAACACTATCTTTTGCCCGAAAGCACTTTCCATGGTGCGCTTCACTGGGAAGTGAACTTCCTCTCTGCTTCACTTTCGACATGATGTTGGTGTTCGTTTTCCTCACCAGTCGTCTATAAAACAGTTTTGACAATCCCACTAAGAAATCACAAGGGGGAAAACATTCCGCAACATCTCCCTTCTCTTAGAAAATCACTTTCAAGTAGCAAAATGAAATCAAAACGACACATTTATTCGCTAGCATAAAATGAATACCTCATGAAATATCCTAGTAATATTCAATTCTGATTACCGATCACAACACTGCAGATAAATTTGTCAAAAGTGAAACTATTTACTTCTTAAGTTGAGTGGTGTTATGTGGTTAAAAGATTTGATCATAGTTTTTAACGTCCAAGTCAGAATTATAAGCTGAGAAGCATCTGACAGGTTAAAAGAAGTGGTGGGTCAACAATAGGATTATTGGTCACTGTAGGGTGACCAACTTCATGTTGTCTGGTCCTTAGTGTTGATTGAATTCATTTTGCAATATAGCGACCAAGCTAGGAGACCCATCATCGTGATGCACTGGGATAGATATTAGTTGGTTAGAGAATCGTCTAGGTTCTGTGTCTTCCGAAACCCGTCAGCAAAGCAGATCTGCAACCTCGATGGAACTGATATCACGAATATTGTAAATCAAGTAACCTGACAAACCTCTTTTGAAAGCGGGATTCAAACTCTAAGATATGAGTTGCAATGGCTACTACAGCTGAGAAAAGTTTTTGACTTACGCCTTTCACGAGGTGTGCATAAATTCTAGTGATGATACTGATGTTGCCTTCAGGATCCACTAGGTGACCAAAATCAATCAAATGTTCTAGAATCAACGTCTGAGATACTGATTTTTGCTCTTGCAAAATTACGCTGATATTTGACTGAAGATACGTTTAGAATAGAAATACTGAGTGTCGTCAATGTCCCAAATTTTATGTGAGCAGGTGAACTGATAAATAAACATTAAAATGGTAAAAGATGTTTATGAATCCTTCACGTTTAGTCAAAGCGATGGGTGACTATAGAAACTTACTCCGAGTTTGACAGCATAAGTTTTTCTTAGTGAGTGCAATAAATGATTTCTTAATATTTCTCCAGTGAAATGCAAATTATCTAATTCAAATATTTCAAGAAAAAAGTCAGAAATAGTCGTTCAGTGAACAGAGAATCAACGCAGACTAATGATAACGTGGTCGACGTGCAACCTGAAGGTCCTCAATTCGATTTCTGGTGGCGTCATGAATGTACAGTACTGGGAAATCCCATACTAGGGTGAAGTAACTGCCCAGTGCTCCTAGGTTTTTAATGGTTCTTTAACTAGTGTCAGTCCATGGTGAATACTACCTTGATGTAGTCAGCACTAGACATCGTAGCATCGAGCCGCACACCTAGAGGCCGATGACTCAAATCTTGTTGCGATTCAAGTTTCCATTTCATCTTCAACCACCACCCTTTCTTCACAAAATCTTTTCTCGTTACTCTAAGGTGTAACTTCGAATTATCGTACGTGTGAGTAACACATACTTTTCAGACTTTAGGTAACAGTGAAGGTAGCAGTTTAAGATTGTATATTGCCCAGTCATCAATGTATCGGTAGCTGGGAATGATGGAATTTTAATAAAAAGTTAGTATTTTACGTAATTCCTTTATTTTCCTTTGGAAACGAAACAGAAAGGAAGTCAACTCCCAGGAGATTATTAGGTATACATCCTGTTGTATCAGTTAGGTCGCCGGACACCTTGTCAGACAATTTCCATTTTTGTGTTTGAATTCCCCGCTGGTCAGAAGTTGATGGTTGTCTTAGTATGGCTGTAGCAGGCGATCATTGTTATCTGTTCGTTCGACTGGGATTCCAAAATTTTTCACCTAAGTGTCTTTTTGCCTGACTTAGCCCAGCCACTAGTGCATTGGAATTAATTGCAATGACAACCTAATCTGAACCTTTGGCTCTCAGCAGGGGGCTAGACAGTTTTCATTAGAACTCATCCTTCAACTCATCTGAAATGCAGTCAGTGGGTGCGTAGTCAACGAAAACAAAGAAGCAGTAACGAAATTCCACTATTTTTTTCAGTCTTCCTTGTGTCGATCAGTTAGACAGCGTATAGACAGGCTGGGATCCAGTTGGGCAGTGAACTTAATGCCTTAGCGCTTAATGCCATAACTGCACCTTAAAGACCAAGAGAACTAGCTATCGAAATCGCAGGAATTCAAAAAGTGAATTTTATGGGATTCACCCTAGTCACCGAATGAGGTTAGGTGGCTGGTCGCACTTGAATTCTGTATGCGTGTTTCATAAACACTTCACACATCCATGATCAGAAATGTTTTGGCTAGTGAAGTTTATTGGTTAGTTTGACAGAGACTGAGGTCATTGAAAACTCCAATGTTTAGTTTGGAGAGTTTGGAGAAGATAGGTTCTGTTATGTGCACTCGAGTGGTTGTTGCGAGGTACAGATCTAGAATGAATCAAAGATAACATAGAATTAGTAGCAGCAAATTTCAAGAAAAATTAGTAAATAGTAATGCACAAGGTGGATAATGACCTTAAGGAACTTTAATTCTGACGGAATTGTGACGATGGTTGACACTTCACATCTGCTGAAACGTTGCTACCTGAAAGCGAAATAAGATTGGTTGTAGTGGTGTACGACAGAAAACAATAATATCTGCTTGAGACTGGTCACATACCTCTGCTTTGAAAGTTTGAGAATTAGGTTAGACTTCTTTGAATCCATGCTGTTGAAGTCTATATCACTAGCACTGGTAGACTATAAGACAGGAGTATTATCTTCTTGTGGAAGATATTTTCTAGTCCGTTCGTCCAAGAAGAGAGGTTAACATATCAGAATGCTGATCATCCTGGTTAACACTTTGTAGCACGTCCAGTCAGAAATAAAACTTTTCTCTCAAACCTACACTATGGCGTAAACTGTTTACATTATGACAATATAGGCTTTGATCTTACAACCATTAAAGAGACATTTCTAACACTTTAGGACCTCAATAAAAATCGTTTCAACTTGCATTTGTCATGTTGTTATTGTGATACACAAGCGCAATCATCGCTTCAGGATAGCTAGTGCCTGTTGATAGAGATCTAGCTACAAATTTCACTTAGATACACATAGGCAAAGTAGATCTCGCATTAATTATTCATCTGTTGATGCTGTCAAGCTTTTTATTAGCACTATAAATTACAGGCTATTCAAATATAAGTCATTTGTTTACTAGTCTTCATGGGCATAACTATATCATACTACTATGTACCAGCTGTTTAAAGATAAACAACGGTTATTGTTTACCTTTATTGTAGATTTTATCGAAACGATTATTTATCTTTGTTTAGATGTATATATATATATATATATATATATATATATATATATATATATATATATATATATATATATATATATATATATATTATTGTCATAGGATTGGATTATTGTGCTTATTTAACGTATATTTAACCTTCAAAAGGATTTCTAACTGATTTGGTGCAATTGGTATGTCATGAACCTAAGCACGACAGACTAACCAAAGTAGAACATAACAGAAACGTGCCCAATTAAAATGCAACGCTTTAAAACAGTAACGACAGAATGAACGAGACAAAAGTAGAGTGCAAGAGGAGGGGGAAAAAATAAATGAAGGCTGAGGAGACTTTAGATTTCCACTAGTGTATACTTTTACGCTAAAGTGGACGGAATTGAGCCAAATCACGGTTCGACGTCTGACAAGTTGCTAACGTCATTATCTAGTTAAGCTTTTAGTCGCACCTACAAATTTAATCATATTGTGAGCGTCCAGCTGCAGTCAATATTTGTAGTATTTTAGACTAATGCTTCTCGAGAAATACTTTTTTGTGAAATATTTGTAGCTCAAGTGGATGGTCTTGGTTGTATTGTGTTCTCTGTGATGGATTGTTTGATCGAGGAGCTTCCATCGACTTTCTAGACATCATCAACACTAACTTCACTATGAAGTGAGGTTGTCAACACCTCTCCGTGAGCGATTTAGTAGCTTGCCCTGACGAAGTGGTGTGTGATTGGTTGTTTCCTTTGATTGTTGTGTCATTGACTGTAGAGATTTTCCTGTTGGCTGTTCCTCTTCTTGACCTCATCACTCATTTCAATGCACATGGATAATCTTGGATATGAATTCGATTTTGACAATGTAAAAATTTTGGACAGAGGAAATACAAAGAATATCAGAGAATTCCTAGAAGTCTTGGCATTCAAGTCGGTCGGCAGTCAATAGATGTATAGACATAGACCCAATCTATCAATTAATAAGAAAGATGGTAAGCGACAAAAAGGTCAGAGGTCGAGCAGAGGAACAGCCAACAGGAAAATCTCTACAGTCAATGACACAACAATCAAAGGAAACAACCAATCACAAACCACTTCGTCAGGGCAAGCTACTAAATCGCTCACGGAGAGATATTGACAACTTACTTCACAGTGAAGTTAGTGTTGATGATGTTGTCTAGAAAGTCGATTGAAGTTCCTCGATCAAACGATCCATCACAGAGAACACAATACAACCAATACCTTTTTTGTTTTTATCAATTAACAGTACAGTGGTATTTTCCCCCTCACTTTTGGGAAGATATTCTATCTTTAGAAAAATGTAAGTCTTCAGCGAACAAACTTGTTCTCGGCGATCTCATTTTCAGATGCTGTCCACTCACGACTGTATAATTAATCAGTGTGCGCATATAATGTTTAAAGACTTCTTTCTATATGTCATTCAACAATTCAATCAGTCTTTTTCACATTTCAAAATACGCAAGACACAAAGAGTCAGTTAGGTTTAATCACTGAAAATGCTGAGACTTTAACAG